ACCCGTTTTCTCGAAGGGAGACAATTTTCTTCTTCGAAAAAGGCCCAGACGCATCCCCTGACGGGGCGCCGCCGCCGCACCCGCGGCGGCGCGAGAGAAGCCTGCCCCCCGGGAGGGGCTCGGCGTGCACGTCGCGTCGCACTGTGGTCGGCCGGGGAGCTCGGTGCACGGAGGAGTGGCGGTGCGCGCAGAGGGGCGGGGGGGGAGGCTTCTCGGGAAGAAACCTGCCTCTCAGAAGGCGCCGGCCTTGCATCTCCAGATCCGGCCCGCGCCCTGCGGGGAGCAGGGGTGCTTCCAAGCAGCCTCGGAGGTTTCTCAGAAGGAGGCCTGCCTCTTAGAAGGCGCTGGCCTTACATCTATTCCCCTTCCTCTACCCGTCACCCCCCCCCCAAAAACCGGACTCCTGGGATCTGGAGCTTTGGGACCCTCCGGACGGGCCTCGAAGCGGCCCCCCGGGCCTCGCAGGGCGTTTTGCCAAGCCTTCCCAGCACACCTAGGGCGATCAGGGGGGTCATCGGAGACGTCCCAGAGACCCCCAAGACAGCACAAGAGCGCTCCAAAAGTGACCGACGTGACCTCAAGATGGCCCCAAAGGCCTCCAGGGCGGCCCCAAAGAGGCCTCCAAGAGCACTCCCAAGAAGGCCCCAAGAGGCACGAATCTTTATTTTTTTGCGGTTTTTGCTGAATTTGGGGGTTCTCCTCTTTCCGGCTTCCCGACGCTCCAAGACGGCGGTCTTCTAGGCGTCCGAAGCCGCCTGGGAGGCTCCAACATCGCCCCACAACCATCCGAAAGGGCTTCCAGGCAGTCCAAGAGAGCCCCAAAACGGCACAACACGGGTCCAAGATGGCCCTCAGAGAGCCCCATGGCGGCCCAAGATGGCCCCAAGACACCCTCTGGAGCATTCCAAATCGTGACCCGGTGGTTGGGAGACCGCGGTTGGAGGCAGGGTGGCCCGAGGAAGTCCCCAGAGGACCCCAGAATACGCCCAGGAGGCCCCCAGAAGGCCTTAAGAAAGCCTGAAACAACTTTTGTGAGGCCCCCAGAGGCTCTCCAAGGAGGAGCCTCCGCAAAAAAGAGCTGAGGAGGATGGGGATAATGCGCAGGGTACGGCGAAAATAGGGGAAAAAAGAAGCATGGAGGAAAGATAACGAATAACATCATTATAGCGGCGATGCCGGAAAAGGCAACAAGGAGGTATCTCTAAATCGTCGGCTTGACCTTCCTGCTATTCCGCATGCGTGCTAAATTTCAAGGACCAAGGTGCATGGCGCGAAGCGCCACTGCAGTCTTGTATATATAATATATATATATATATGTATATATACAAAAATGTGCATATACATATACATTTACACCTACATACATGAAGGCCCGCACCGTCCAGGGAGCATGGGTGCTTCGAAGAGGCCCTGGAAACTTCGCAGAAGGAGTCCTGCCTCTCAGAAGGCGCCGGCCTTGCATCTACAGATCAGGCCCGCGCCTTCTAGGAAGCAGGGGGTGCTTCCAAGTAGCCTTCCCCCCTCCCTCAGCCCCCACTGCGCGAGGCCGCGCATAGACGCCCCAGCTTCCCAACCAGTGGGACGCTGGAGCGTCTGGACACCGAAGTCCTTCGCGGAGCTCCTTGGCTCCTCTGGCCGACCAAGCGACGTGGCGCATACATCCTTAGGGGAGTCTGCTTGGAAGTTCGTTCTAACACATACCGCTTCGGCTTACTAAACAGTCTTTCGTTGCCTTTAGCGGCCTTTAGTGTATCATTAGGGGCCTTTAGTGGCCTCTAGTGGCCTTTTAGCAGCCTGTACTGGCCTTCAGCGGTCTTGAGCAGCCTTCGGTGGCCTTCAGTGGCCTGTAGTGGCCTTTACAAAAGTGCAGAAAAGTGTACTATGCATGTTGAGATGAGCTTCCAAAAACACCCACTTAAACATCGAGTCCCTCCGGTGCCCCACGCCTTGGCCCCCCACCCCAGCAGTCCTGGCCACCCGCTCCAGCAGCCGCGCCAGCGCCAGCGGCCGCTGGCGCGCGTGGGCCAGCGACCACTCTGCGCAGGCGGAGGCCGACGCGAGGTCCATGGGCAGGGCCGCCTGTCGGTGCAGGGCCAAGGTTTTACAACACTCCCTGCGGCTTCGGGAGGCTCTCCCTCTCCTGGTCAGGACCCAGAAAGTGCTGACCAGGGCGAGTCCCAACCATCCATGGATGGCCACCTCTGCATTTCAGTGACGGGCGCGCGGCGCCTAAGCCAAGGTCAACCAAGCGGTCTGGCCTGAGGCGGCACCCAAATGCAGGTTAACCAGCGAAAGCCTTCGCCGATTTCCGTCCGAGCCCGAATTCTGAGTTCGAGACAACTTGTAACTTGGCTGACTCCCCATCGAGGTTAATTTTTGTCCTCGACGCACAGACAAGATGACCCTCGGCAGAATCCGAACCCCCTTTCCAGCTCTCCGGAAGACTTCCGCGGGCAAGGCAGCCTCCTCCACCGCCTCCGCCTCCGCCTCCTTCCGTTCCTCTGTCAACGGGGGTATGATCACAAGCAAGTAACAATCGATGGAGTGGTTGGCTCTTCAGCGCGTGGCTGGGGGTGCGTACACCCACATTGAGAAAACTACGTTACGCACAGTGTCCGTTGCATCCCTGTGCTCGCAAGGCTCTTGGTGGACTGACCGTTCTGTAACCGCGTGTCGATCCAGCTCCTCTTTCCAATGCCAGTTCTGCTGCTCATCATTGTCATCATCCTCCACCTCATGGAGCTATGGCGTGTTGTTATTGCCTCCGCCCGAGCCAAGATTTGGACAGATGCGTGCGCCGCGCAACATCTTGCGCCAGCGTCCATAGCAGCGGCTTCATACTCGAATAGCTTTATCATAAGAACAAGCAGTGTGCTGATAATGAAAATTACCAGCTCTCCACTGAGGGAAATTGCACTCCACCGTGCTAAGGACCAGCCACGAGTGAGAAATAATAGAAAGCAAGGAAAACGAGGAGTGAGAATGGGCAGCGCGGTGGTCACAAACGGCTGCCACGCGTGCGTCGGCTGCTTGAAACCCTGGCCCATGCTAGAAGTAAAAAAGCACTGGCCAAACGGGGGAAGATGGGGAGATGCGGAGGACAAAGGGAAAGGGACATAGATGATGTGTGTGCGCATCGTATCACCACTCCCACTGGTTTAGCACCGTCGCTCGGCAGGTGTTCTCCTGTCCCACGTCCTCTTGCTACGCCCCCGCTTGGGAGGTCCAGCGTTGGGCGGCGCGCCACCTCTCCGCCATCCAAGCCCAGATGGTGATGCTCCTCAACGCTCCCGCGCTACGCCCCCGTTTCGAAGGTCCAGCGTTTGGCGGCGTGTCACCTCTCAGCTATCTGAGCATCGTTTAACCGATCCCCATCCCCACCCCACTGGCCGATTTACACTCCCTAGATGGGGATATAGGCTGTACCCTTCGTGTTTCGAGGGGTGTATCCCCAACTGGGGTGGTAATTTGGTGGGGGTCTCGAAGGGAAGAGGACGGGGATGGGGGTCGGTTAAACGATACTGACCATCCACGCCCAGATGGTTTGCCACTGCCTGCATGCTGGGACTCAAAGCGATCCCGCCTGAGAGCCCGGCGCGCACCAGCTCCGACCTTACTCCGACCTGACACGGCGCGCGAGGCAGCGACCGCCAAAAGGGTGTGGTTGTGTGTGTGCGTATGTGCATCCCCCATGGTCCAAAAGCCACTTTCTGGGCTAAGGCCCGACACAACGACAATGAAAGAGAGAGCCAATCAGTAAACGAGACGGATACATCCCATGCAAGTCGCAACTGATAGGGCACGAACTAGATGGCTATCACGCTGATGGCAGGGACAAGGATATGAGGCGAGGAGACATGAGAAGAGAATAATGGGACATCACATGTTGGGCGCATGCACTCACAAATAATCATGATTGAAACTGGAGGGGGGCATTGCGGCGCCCCGCAAACGCGACGCTGCTCCGCAGCGGCTGACAAGGGCGGGCCAGGACGGCTAAAGCGGCCTAGAGTCGGCTAAAAGCAGCTGCAGACTGCAGACGCCACCGCGCAGTGTCCGCGCAAACAGTAGCATCGAGGATCGAGGCCGCCAATTCGAGGAACGAGGGATGAGGACGGGGGCTAGGAGGAGGGGGGAGCAGACGAGGCGCCAATACAGACCGCGAGCCAACCTGCCAGCGGTTCCGCCCCGGGTGGATGACCGCGGAGCCCCGCGGCGATCTACGCGGTCGCCGCCAGACGGGCCAGCAGGCGCGAGCGGGCAGCGTGGTGGCCAACGGCACCGCCCCGCAGAGAAGCGCGACATGGCGCGCCGGACACTCCGTTGACAGATGTTTCGATTCATGCTATCCGAGCTGCGCATGCCACCGAACACACGTGCAAGAACCCGGGGCTCGGGCAGAGCGGAGACAGAGACAGAGCAACGCCCTTGACAAGGGACAACGTTCCAGAGCACGCACATAGCCCAGAGACAGAGCAACGCCCTTGACAAGGGACAACGTTCCAGAGCACGCACATGATAGCCAGGGGCCAGAACAAGGCCCTGCCCAGGTGCCTCATTCTCGAACGAAGAAGCGAAAGAGGGATGTGCAAACACAGCGGCGGGACAGCGGATCGTGTGAGTGCTATTCGACAGATGTGTTTCCAGAGCCATGCGGCGGCCGAGCGAGAGTCAGCTCAACCACACCACCCACGAGCAGCAACGAGTCAGCAGTCAACTCCATATCTCCAAAGACAGGGCATAGTTAGCGGTTTAACTAGTGCGAAGGGAGTGGGTCATCCATGGCTCATGGTGCGGCTTCACAGGATAATCACGTCTTGTTCGAAACTCGGCGAGCTGATCTTCTTCGCCCTCCCTAGGGGAACGAACCATGACGCAAACATAGAAACTCGGAGGTCCGTACGGATTTCTCGGGGCGGCGCTGGACCCCCCTCCCTGGCGCGCGGAGCGAGCCAGGTGCGGCGCCGGAGGCGCCGCCAGGGGCCAACCAGCGCGGATCC